CAACATTCACAACATTCCCAAAGTTCCCAGGATTCCCAACATTCCAAACATTCCCAGGACTTCACACATTCCTGCAATTCCTGACATTCCAAACATTCCCAAAATTCCCAGGATTTCCAAAATTCACAACAGTCCAAACATTCCCAAAATTCTTGGGATTCCCAACATTCACAACATTCCAGAGCATTCAGAACATTCCAAACGTTCCCAAAATTCCAAACGTTCCCAACATTCACAACATTCCTGGGATGTCCCACATTCCCAGGGATTTCCCAGGGATTTCCCAGCATTCCCAGGGATTTCCCAGCATTCCCGGCATTCCCGGAATTCCCGGCATTCCCGGGATTCCCGCACTGACCGTTCTGGATGAGGATCTGGGAGCGGGTGAAGCGGCCGTGGATCGCTGCCATGTGCAGGGGGCTCTTCCCTTCCTTGCTCTGGGAAAGGAACAAGGAGGGCTCAGACACACCCCAAAAACAGCCCCAAAATATCCCAAAATTATCCCAAAAACATCCCAAAATTATTCCCAAAACATTCCCAAAAATATCCCAAAAACATCCCCAAAACATCCCCAAAACATTCCAAAAATATCCCTAAACCATCCCAAAAATATCCCCAAAAACATCCCAAAAATATCCCAAAAACATCCCTAAAATATCCCCAAAACATCCCCAAAATATCCTAAAATTATTCCCAAAACATTCCCAAAACATTCCAAAAATATCCCAAAAACATCCCCAAAATATCCCAAAATTATCCCAAAACCATCCCAAAAATATCCCAAAATTATCCCCAAAACATCCCCAAAATATCCCAAAATTATCCCCAAAAACATCCCCAAAATATCCCCAAAAATATCCCAAAAACATCCCCAAAAACATCCCAAAAACATCCCCAAAAACATCCCCAAAAACATCCCAAAAACATCCCAAAAACATCCCCAAAAACCATCCCAAAATATCCCAAAAACATCTCAAAAACATCCCAAAAAACGTCCCCAAACCATCCCATAAATATCCCCAAAATATCCCCAAACCATTCCAAAAACACCCGAAAAACATCCCAAAACCATCCCAAAAATATCCCAAAATATCCCAAAATCATCCCAAAAATATCCCAAAAACATCTCAAA